ATCAAGCAGACGGTAAAGAAAGCCAACCCTCAGAGTGCTCCGGGGCCTGATGGTCTTCGTTTTTCGTATCTCCAAGCTAGTGGGATGAGTGATTATTTTACTGAAACCTTGGCAGACTTCAGCTTTAAAGTCTTCTACTACGGAGACGAGCTTCCGGATTTCTTTTGGAACCTCCACACCAGTGCCAACCTTTCAGCGCTGGGAGAGAAAAAACGGCCGATTGCAGTTGGAGGGGTTTTGCGTCGCATCATCAGCGGCAGCTTCTGCCGCCAGTACAAGGGAGGAATTGCGAACATCTTCGAAGCAGCAAATCAGTTCGGAGGTGGTGTTCCAGGAGGAGTTGAAATAGTGGCTTCCACAGCAGCCCTCAGCCACCAGCAAGGCAGCACCATTCTCTCCTTTGATGGGAAAAACGCTTACAACAGCATGCGCAGATCTTCCATCTTGCCAGCAGTGGCCACTCATACGCCACACTTGGCGAAGTACTTCGGGAACATCTACGCTCGAACCAAGGCGAAACTTCTGTTCAAAATGGAAGATGGTTCGATCGAGGTTGTTCTTTCACAGCGCGGAGTTCAACAAGGCTGCAATTTGGGAGGGTTTGGCTTCTGTGTAGGACTTCTTGATATCATGAAAGAGTTCAACAACAAGCCACCAGTGCCAGGAGCCAAGCTCATTGGATACGTCGACGACCTCCAAGTGCATCTTCCACCAGGTTTGGCTAGAAATATTCAGGCCATCGCCACCGTAACCAACTGGATCCAAGACCACCTGCTGCAAAAAGGCATTGAGCTCAGCCTTCCGAAATCGAACGTCCTTTTCCCAGAAGGATTATTCTTCTCCTCTTTGACAAACGACGAACAGCGAGATTTGACGAAAACGGGTCTCTCGGTTGCTGAAGGTGGTATGGCCATTGTTGGAGTCCCAGTAGGGACAGAGTGCTTCCAGAGGAGTTTCGTCACCAACTTCGCCCGCGGTATCCCTGCTGAGTTGATACCCCGCCTTTCCACACTTGACGACCCGCAAACGAGCTACCAACTGCTACGTATGTCTGGCGTTCCACGCTTGTTTCATCTGCTGAGAACGATTGCACCGAGCATTACCAACACTGCCGCGAGAGAACATGACAGCCTGATGATATGGGCAGTAAGCAAGATCGTTCTCGGCAAAATGGCAAACACTGTGGGAATTCCAACCGTGGAAGAGGTGCCCGCAAACCCAGAGAAGAGTGAGGTCGACTTCTTCAAAGATTCAGCTCGGGCACAGGTGCACCTGCCCATACGTGAAGGGGGGCTTGGAATTACGAGCAGTGTTCTCATTCGAGAATCGGCTTTTGTGGCAGGGCAAGCATTAGTGTTCTCCAAGTCAGTGCAGGCATCAACAGGACTCACCATTGAACAATGCCTACCGCAACTTGCACAGCTACCAACAGGATTAGCTCTGATTGACTCCCTCAAGAAACTAAAAGAAATCATCACCAAAGACAAGCTAGAAAGAGCTGTTGGTCAGTCATGGACTAAACTTGTTACATCTGACGATTTAACTCCCACTCTTCGAGGGGTTTATCTCATGGAGGCCGGGAAGG